TTTTGCTTTGTGTTGTGTAACACAATCGAGAAACAGTTAGGCCACTAAAAAAACTCTCTTGAGATCTGACAAGTAGATAATGCATTTCTTCGGCTACTCTTTTTTTTAGACGGTTGCAGCTTCAGTCGCTTGAAACACTGGAAAAAATGTTTTATGACAGTCTGTTTTATTTCATTTAAGAATATTAATTTTTTTAGTTTAGAAACAGTTAGGATGTTTTTTATGACGATTTATTTTCCATAAATTTTGCTCGAATAATTTATGGTTTATTTAGAGCTGAACTTAAGTATTCTTCTTGAGTTTTTACAACCCTATATATATAAATTTCAAGATTGAAAGACTTTTAAGTTCTAGCTAAAATTATTATATTTTAATTAACTTTAACTTTTAATTTGGGCAGAATAAAATTAAGTACACTTTCCATTAAAATTTCATATGAAATGTTCGTTAACTTTTTTTGCCCACTGTGCATATTATAAGTATGAATAAACTTTACCACTGAGATTTTGTTTTGTTTTCTTCGCGTGTAGGAATGATTCTTCTCGAAATCATTTTGTCCAGCTATTTTATCACCTCGCGTCAGTTTTATGGGGGCTTGGCCTGCCCCTGAAAAAAAAGAGAGTGAAGAAAGGAGAAATGGTGACAGATCAGCGATCGCGGTTAGTTTATTGCTTCCTCTCTGGATCCTTTCTCACTCATTTCTCGCTTATCTTATCGCCTCGATCACTTGTTCATCGATCGTATTCCAGGCGCCGGTGAATGGTTTTGTGTTTCCCGTTTATTTTTGTATTTTTGTTATTTTTGCATTTATTGTGTTATTTGGTTTTTCTGGTCATCACGTTCCTATTTGAAATGGATGCCTCGTGTGTCCGAGTAAACGTGATGGATGCATCGACTTGCTAACTTTTCTCCCCTTCTCTTGCGCACTAGCCCTCTGACTACTTGTAGCCATCTCTTTTTCATAATACGTTTTCTGTTGCCACCGTCTTCAATATGGTTCATGTGGCCTTGTGGATTATTATGTACAGTGTTCTACCGAAAACTTTAATTTTAGCATATATCAGGATATAACACAACATTAAATACCAAAAATTAATTTTACAAAATGTTTTCTTCTAGAACTTAAGAAATTGCGCATATTTTCAATTATACTTCGGATAGTTGAAAGTATTACATATCGATGTTGTTACTGTACAGTTCCCGAGACGTGATATGTGGAGGAGCAGGCCAGACGTGCGCCAGACACTTGAGCTTTAGTTCTGCCCCGCTGGCCATCGCTCTCTTTCATTCATAAAAGTCAGGCAGCGAATTTGAGCTCCTGACTGGAATACAAGTGTTTTTGAAAAACCAAAGCAGAAAACGTAACTGAAACCGAAACCGAAATGAAAATTCATGTCCATGTTCCAGCGACGCCCGCAGCACGCACACGCACCTCAAATTGGCGAGGGGGTGGTAAACGGCGGAAGATGAGGGGGCGGGAGGGGTTAAGAGGGTTGTGGCACCACCACACGCATCGTTGCACGTCCGTGGCCATTGTCCTCGGGCGGCTGAAGCCACACGCCGTCCACTCGTCATCCACACGCAGTCCACACACTTGCAAAAAAATGATCTTTTCTAACTCGTTCTCAACATTTGTTTAAGAAGATTTAAGTCTTAGACTTAGATGGAATAAGATATAGTTTAATATCAATTTATTTTAAAATTTTTCCTAATTTAATGTTATTTAGAAGGAACATTTATTTGTTAAAAGAACTCGCGTTTTTCAACCTTTATTTCATAACAGATTTTAAATTTATAGGCTTTTAAATAGGAAGAATAATTGGGTCATGCTGCTTAAGTTCGATTTTGAGAGAAAAATATTTTGCAAAAGTTTCAACAAGAAATCCTATGTTTAAGGCATAATTAAAGCTTTTTGCTATACGCAGTTGAAAGCTATACTGCCCAAAAACAAAACTTTCTTTGGTTGTCTAAGGCTTGGTAAATTATTATAAAACAATAAAGCTATTTTTAATCAAGAATTGGCTCAGTGTAGACGCACAGTGTAGACGCACCGATTTCCGACCTACAGATGAGGGTTCTCCGTTAGCCCCCGGACAATTTCAATGCCGCCTGCCTTCCCATGATGATGACCACGAAGATGATGATGGCCACGATGTCTGCCCGGTGTCTGGACGTGAACGTGGACATGCCCAGAGACCCTCTTAACCCCTTAAAGACCCACATCCTGCCATTCATTCCGGAAGCGCGAACGCTTTCCACGTTCGATTTTTATGGCAAGCGCTGAATTCGAGTTCCTCATTCATTGTCTGCTCTCAGCAACCTCTTCTTCTTCCTTTCCTGGACCTGGCTATGGACATGGGCACCCCCTTAACCCGCGACGCCTGACCCAAGCACTTGGCACGTTTCCTTTTTAAAATTCACAATTGCCGCCGCCGTAATTGTGGGAGAATTCGCTACGCCAACTTGTCTCCTCGCCATCTCACCCACTCTCTCCCAAGAAATCGATCACGTTTCGGTTTCTACACATGTTCCAGTTACGTTACGCTTACGTAATGTTTGTATTACTCCCGGAAGACTGGGGTGTAAGGGGGTAACTACGAAATTGCCTGTGGTTAAGGCCAAGAAAGGGAGTTTGCTCTAGTTTTTGACGAAGATTAGTGTTGACAAAGATTAGTGTTGGAAAGTAATTTTAAATAACGATTAACGATAGCCAATATCGATCGTATGTGCGCAAAGTATTAATTTTCATCGAATTATGGAAATTGCTGTGAAATTACAATGGCTAAATGGAAGAAAAGAAAATAATTAAAAGTAAAACAGGACCTCACAACAGCCTTTGACAATTAATACAAACAAAAAAAATTTTGATTATAGGTCATCCCTTAAGCACTATTTTTTCTAAAAACCTGCATATTATTGACCTTTTGCTGTTACTGCTTTTTAATGACCTCTAATATTGACCAATAAATAATTTAATCTTCCTTTTTAACATTTTAATCAATAGTGCTACATAAACTGCCCACCCTTTTTCCGTTAGTTTTCAATGTTGTAAGTTTGACCCCCACCTTGACGATTGAACCTTCCTTCCGTGGAAATTAAGAGGATGTTGCCTTTTCTTTGAGGGGTTTATTGGGGGTTGGGTGTTGCGGGGGAGTACTGTACAAATAGGCACATAAAAGAGACAGCTTCTGTCTGTGCGAGGTTGGAATAACAAAATATCCTCCTTCCATTTAAGCTACCTGTGCGTCCCCGCTCCGCCTACATCCTGGCCCCCGTTTTCGAGAGTTCGCAGGATATATTCATCCGTAGGCTTTAGTTTCTCTGTTTTCCATTGGCATTTCGGTCACATACACAAACACACATAAAAAGGCAAAGCAGCAACAACACCCACGCAACGTGTAAGTGCGAGCGAGAGACCCGCGAATTCCCAAATGTGTAAAGAAGTAAACTAATTGCTGCGCGTGCTGCAGCGCCAAACAAAAGCCCCATCGTACTCTCTCTCTTTCACTCTTTTTACTGCGAAGTATATAAACGCAGCGAGATGGGCCATAGACGTGCGCGGGAGTGAGATGGCGCTAGGACAAACCCGTTTGCCAACAGGCACGTACATCCAGCCATCCCTCTTTAGCGGAGCATGCTGTCCCGCTTGCTCTGCCTCAGAAGATGCGGCTCATTTGGTATGCGCACTATGTCGATTCCGATTCGACGCCGTGTCACGTCCCGCCCATTTGCACGCACACTCGCCGCCCCCGTCCGTGTGTGTGTGTGCAGTGGCGTAGTGTGTGTGCGGAGAGCGTGAGGCTGCTTAAAATGCTACTGGCGCTGCTCGAACATGACTTCTCCGGCGGTCAGGTGCTGCTCACCCACACAGCCGTTCGGGCATGGGCACTCATACACAGGCCCTGGAACATAAGGGTAACTCGATTTTGTTGTAAAAAAAAATAAAACCAAAAAGATTAGCCCTAGCTGTTTTTTTTTTCTATTTTTGAATATTTACAATTTATTAATATATACTGATTTACATTAAGTTTCCCTCAAATATGAAAAAAACTTTCAATAGTTATAAAATGGAGGAAATGATTTACGTTTTACGACTCGTAATAAAAGAATTAATAAACGACATATCGAAAATATTAGGATAGGATATAACTGTTTTGATTTAAAAAAGTGTTTTTTTTTTTTTGTTGTCAAGAGATTTAAGTGGTAGAAGTTCGCAATTGTTTTTAACAAATTCAAGAGATAGAAGTTCGACTGTAAACACATTAACAATAATATGACACTCCTCAAGGCCTCATCAGAATAAAATATAATAAAATACGAAAGGTCATGAGTGTGATCGAACCTACTACGTCCGAAAACAAAACTATCTTTTTGAGTTTTTTTAAAGTGGCACAATTGTAATTACATTTAGAGCAATAATTTCTTTAGTACGTTTTCACATATTGTGCTATCTTTAGGCTTTCATTTAATAGTGTTTTTAACAAATTCAAGAGATAGAAGTTCGACTGTAAACACATTAACAATAATATGACACTCCTCAAGGCCTCATCAGAATAAAATATAATAAAATACGAAAGGTCATGAGTGTGATCGAACCTACTACGTCCGAAAACAAAACTATCTTTTTGAGTTTTTTTAAAGTGGCACAATTGTAATTACATTTAGAGCAATAATTTCTTTAGTACGTTTTCACATATTGTGCTATCTTTAGGCTTTCATTTAATAGTGCCAGGAAAAAATTACGTCCTTTTTTTTGAGGCACCCTAATGCTCGCAAACACTTGGCGCCGATGCTTGGTTTTTTGCTTCGAGTCACCCCCAAAAATTGGGTGTGCCCTCTCGCTCGCTCGCTGGCTATCGCTCTCTCGCTCGCTCCTGCAGAGAGGTGCTGCCTCTGCCGCCACTGCGTTGTTGTTGTGCCTCTCTTTTCGCCTTTTTGCCCTGCTTTGGTTTTGTTCGGTGACGTGAACGTGACTCTGGATTATTCTGCACGTACTCGTCGCCAGCGACGGACGTACCGCATACCGTACTCCGTGCTCCGTATTCACAGTGCTCCGTACTCCGTTCGACGTTCACCGTATTCCATATTCAGAGGGTAGGCGTACTCCGTACATTGAGCGTCATCAGCTGCAGTTTCACGTACGCAGCCCGTCCGTGCAAGTGTGTCCGTATATCGGTAAGCCCGTCTCTCTCGCACGCCCCCTCGAAAGCAGTGCGTGTCCGTAATTGGCAGGTCTCATTCGGTTGAACGTAGAACCCGTAACCAGTAACCCGGAGACGTGCCAAGTGCCGGAGATAAATTAACTGGACGCGAACGCGCCTCATTTGAATGTCAATCGATTGACGGCTAGTTTGCCGATCCCGATCCGTAGTGCGTGACCCTTACTTCCATCGCAGGATAACTGAAGACACGTACCACACGCGTGTGTCTGCGTGTGTGTTTGTGTGAGGCGGACAACAAAAGGATGCGGCCTTCAAAACGAATGCCACGCCACCCTGAATCCGTGCCCCAAACCAAGTGCAATAATAAGTGATAAAGTGCAACACCGAATCGAAAACTTCCTCAACGAGGCATTTAAAAAACCCCACTCAAAAACATCAATATGTTGCCGTACCAGGCAGCCGTGGCCATGGACTATGCCGGATATCAAAGGCAGCCCACGCCAGGTCATCCTGGAAGCCACATGGCTACCATGGGATCGCTGGGCATGCCGGCGGTGCCATTCACCCATAGCTGGATGGTGCCCACGCAGGACCTGTGCGCCATGCCCCCTTACAACAAAATGCCCGGACACCAGCAGCCACCGGGACCCGGAATGCACGCCCAACAACAGCCCCTCGAACCCGGGTTTGTAACCTCGCAATAAAGTACCCTTAAAATCTGGGAATATATCACCAAGCCAAGCCCTTTAGCAATTTTAATTGAAACATAAGTTCACACTAGGAAATGTTAATTCGACTGCGTTAAGGGGTATACAATACAGATTCTTTAGGTTGTCTAGATTTCAAATTAAGCTCGCATACAATTCTATGCATACAACATTAAACTTAAATTTATTTATTTCCAAGAAATAAAAAATTAAGAGATCATGGACAGATATCTTTGTGCTATATTATTCATAAATTTATATATTGCTAGGAAAAATAAAATGATAGCTCAAGAGAATTCTTAATAAATATTTTAGTTGTGTAACTTTACAAACGTTTTCCTATTCTTAGGTACCAAATCGGATTTTAAATAGTTATTTAGTGGCTAATATTGCGACTGCTCAAATCAAATCAAAACATTGAACTTTTGTTTAATATTTCATATTATAATCATGAAAATTATTTTGGAGCCTGACTTTGAATTCCCCTACTTTCCTAATTTACAATAGAAGACTCGTGTAGAGCACCCGCAAAGTCCATGAGAGCCCAACCTTTTCTTCATTGTGTACTCTTTGTGGGCTCTTAAATTTTTTTAATGCGCTCATCACAGGCTTGAAGCTTCGTTTTGTGTTGCTTTATTTAAGCCGCGCGCGGCTTCTGGCTCTCAACACAAACCTCGTCTGTGGCTTCAGTTTTAGCCCGAATCTGAATCTGAATCTCAGGGCTCCGTCTTCGGCTTCGACTTGGAGATTCGTATCTCAGCCGAAAGCGTCGTCGTCTTGGCCATAAAAATATTTTTGATAATTAAAAAGAAACCCCGACTTGGGCTTTGCCACGGGCCAAGCCAGTTTTCCCCTCAGCCACTTGCTTTTTGTTTAAACATTCAACCAAAAAAAAAAAGAACAACATACATAAACAACATTTTTAATTAGTTGTGTTGAAATTACGTTTAGTGAGATGTCAGTACCTCCGGTATATGCCGTAAATGTTTTCCTAATAAAATCGTCTGGTTCAAAAAACCCATGCAAGGGAAACCGAAACCGTTTTTTGCTTCGCTGAGGAGGGGAAAATTCAATTTTGGGCTAGAAAAAACATTAATCTTTGCGTCGTCAATATCGAAATGCCATTCAAATGAGGCACAGGGAGGGGTGACGAAGTGTCGGGAACCAGAGGTGTTGCCTTGACAAATGATGTGCGGTCTCGATTTTAATTTCGCACGAAATTCGCCACTGTCTAACGGGGCGAACAAATTGCCTGTCATTAGCAAAAATTGCCCAAATCGAGCCAATAATTGCCTCGCCAAGGATGAGCTTTCAAAGTTAGCCCTTGGGTATTTGTCTGTTAAAATAGGTGTTTCCTATTCGGTAGTTAATGATTTTGCGGAAACAACATATTGTTACAATGTTTGGATGTCCACAAAAAAAAAATTAAGTTTTATATATTTTCTACCCCTCGGATATTTGTTTGTTAAAATAGATGTTTTCAATTAGGGTTTTTAGTTCATATCTTTGCGGAAACATTTGGTAATAAAATAAGAGATCGTTAAAAAAAATGTAGATATCCTCTCCTGTAATCTCTTAATCTTTAAGTAAAAATTTTAGTGTGTGAAATTTTCGGCAGTCTTAATCTTATCAAAAATCCTTTAAACAACTCTTTTCCGCTTGATTGATCTGGTTGTGCAAATATTTTTATAGGGCCACTATGCAATTCGATTAGCGACTTAATGCGGGAATTAAGGGGTCTCCCAAAATGTAAGCGGCTTACTGCGGTCAGCCAGGGAGAAAGAAAGTCATCGAATTTCCTTTTTTTCCTTTGTTTTTTCTTCGGTTTCGCACAAGACAAAAAACACAAGGCTAAAGGATACAGGATAAGAAGTGTGGCCCAGGGGCGTTTGTTTAGGTAAAAGTAGCCCGGAGTACCGTTATTGCTTTATCAGTATTTTCGCTCTTTGTAAGCATTTCTGTGAGATATGATCAGGACTCAGCGGGAATGTTCTTGAGCTGCCATTATGTAATCGTAATTCAAGGAAAACTAAGAAAGAATTATTACCTCAGTTTATCTAATAAGAATTTATAGAAGGAATTTTTCCATTTATTAATTTTGGATTTCGAAACACAATTTTCTAAGACAAATACAATTACTCAAATGCACGAACAAGAAAGAAATGTGGAATTCAAAATATTGAATGTAATGTTTGTTCATTTTGATGGTTTTCTTAAAAAATGTTGTTAGAAATAAAGATATTTTTATTTCAAATTTAAATGCAAAACACAATATAATAATCTTAAAAATTTTAATTTTTGTAAATCAGAAATACATTTTTTTTTATTTCTTGCCTGCCCCTATCGAATCGGTATGCCCATCTTATCTCGGGTAGAGCGCATAAAGATTTCACTGCAGGTCAAAACAGCACTGCCAACATTAACAGCAACAACAAAGAAGTTGTCAACAAACTTAAATTATGAAGTCTTGAAGCCAAGTTTTCTGACGAAGATGCTCAGAGAGATGGCCGCCTGCAGATAGCGAAACCGCAGAAGGTTGAGCAAAGATCCATATCCATAAAGCCCCAGCCCGAAAGCAGAAAGACCGACTTTACGGATCCGAACGAGAAGCGGCAGACTTTATAAAGAGAGTCGGCTGCAAGTTTAGTGAATGAAAAGTTGCATTTAGGGAAAATAACGAAAACCGAGATGAGATCGCTTGGGAGGCGGCATTTTCACAGAGATTCGGGAATGTGCAGGGAAATAGAAATGAAAATATCAAGAAAAACTCTCTCACACAGCCTGGGGCTTTGGGAAATCTTGCAACAAATGGTCTGCAATTTATCCAGCGACGAACTGTCGTCTGGCAAACTATTGTCCTATTCAAAGACCCAAACCTTTTTCCCGCTGAAAGGCTGACAAATGTCGGGCAATTAGTTTGGGCCGACACCATTCCATCACAAAGCCGTGGGTTGGCCAAACAAATGGCCGAAAACACGGCGCTGACAGGTGCGAAAGGGCCGATCTTCTAGTGTCTATTCGTCAGTGTCTACTTATGTATACTGATTGATTCGCGTTTTCTTTTTACCATTGAAAAAATATCTCACGGTGGCAATTCTTTTCTTTCGACAGAATCCTCGAGCTGCGCAAGGAGAAGTCGAGAGATGCGGCGAGATCGCGTCGCGGGAAGGAGAACTACGAGTTCTACGAGCTGGCCAAGATGCTCCCGCTGCCGGCAGCCATCACCAGTCAGCTGGACAAGGCTTCCATCATAAGACTGACCATCAGCTACCTGAAGCTGAGGGACTTCTCCGGACACGGCGATCCGCCATGGACAAGGGAGGCTTCCAGCAGCAGTAAGCTCAAAAGTAAGTGGCACCGAAGAAGGTATTATACATACAAAATCCAAAGATCATCCAATTTCACAAAAACGATAGTTATTGTAAATCAGTTAAATCAGTAAAATATTCCTAAAAGGTATTGAGAACAACATTTTTGTGCTAAAAAGTTGAGTTTAATTGGAATATTATAATAAATGAAAGCCTGATCTATGTTTACTTAAGCAACATGTTAAGCCATGATTCACCATGATTTCAAGAACAGTAAGCAGTGATTTCCATATCGAAGCCATTGGAAGCTAATCAATCACTTTAATGGGGCCTTCTGAAATTCCACAAACTGTCACAATGACACACGCCGTTTGCCCCTTGCCTTTGCCCACAAAACGGAGACCAAAATGGTCGCGCATGCGCAGCAAATAAAAATAAATTACGCTTAATAACGATATTTTATGCAAATCCGGCAAAAGCCCAAAACAAAACTTAAAAACTGTTGACAAAGTCAACGAATAAATGAATTTTTTTCGAGCTCGGTAAGACAAATTTTTAAGGTGCGTACCGAGCATAATTTTTGTCATAGACAGGCCGGGGTGCAAAAAGCGAAGTAAAGTTTTGATTTCACTTTGGGTAAGCCGCGTGCAGCCCGCTCCTCACGAAATGTAGGCAAATGAGTTTCCTGCTTTCGGTTTTAATTGCCGCTTCTCCGTCTCTTTCTTGCCAAAAACGATCGAATATGGCCGACAATATGGCGGACGTCTTGCGTCAAATGCAAATGAGCAAACGGAAATTTCTCTGCCCTTCGGTCACACTTAGACTTTTAAAGTGACCATCACTTGTTTGTAATTTAGCAAATAGTGTTGCCATTATTTGTGGAAGCTTTTTTTTTTTAAGATGGTCTATCTATTGTGTAATGCAAGAAAATTCTTGAAATCAATATCAATACTATATGAGATATCACTTAGGGTACATGAATTTTATAATTAAATTAGTCATTATATATAATATTTTTGAATTTTAAGACTTTCAAGTCACTAATCAGCCTTCCTTAAAGATATCGAGTTTGTCGACACTAAGCCTCGCATTGAAGAGTAACACTTAAAGCAAAGTACAGAAATTCGTCGGGCAACAGAGGTATTGTCAGTTACTATATCTGTATACCATTGCTATATCCATTCATTCCAAGCCACGCCATTCCTCAGCCAGCCACGTCATGCTCCGACGACGTTGACAATGCATTGTCATGTCAAGTGAAAAAGGCATTCCACGACGACAGCCCACGACTCTTGGCCAGGTTTCTCAGTTCAGACAGTATTCAAAAGCTGCCAACTGGCAACGGCCGGGTGCACTCACAGAAAAATGTCTTCATTCACATCATAGTTATGATTTAATTGCTTTGTTACAGCGGATATTGTGAAAAGACAATTGGTAAACAACAAACTGATGCTTAATATTGAGTCTCTTTTAAAAGTGAATTAATATTAAATATTTAAACATGCTATTATATTTATTAAAGACTATATTTGATGAAATTTACTGAAAAACGAAACTAAACCCCCATGAATAATATTTTTCTCCGTGCGCCAACTGGCAAAGTGGCAGAGCGAAAAGGCGAGGGCCATCAAAAAGCCAAAAAGGTAGTCAAGGCACTAAAAAATAATCCAAAATCAATGGGGCGTTATGTATGGAAGGCGGTGGAGTGGCCGTAACGCCTTTATCCATTCAATTGGATTATTATGCGAAACTAAACCCAGAAAGAGTAGTAGAGAAGGAGCTATGTGCTTCGAGGATGAGGAGCAACAAGCTGCGGGGCAATAAAAAGCACTTCAATTTGACCCACAGCCGCAAAAAAGAGCAGAGGGAATATTTTTGGGCGGTGGGGTGGTACTTGGTGATGGTGGTGCTGGAAGGTCATTAGGGCTGGGCCGTAGCCACATATGGCCATGTCCGAGCGGAAGCGGAAACTGTTTGCCAACTTAGCGCGCCGACGACCACTGGAAATCGCTGGGGATTTGAGGGCAGGAAGAATAAAGGGCGATTTGCACTTGTGCGAATTATGACTTGGCCGGTCAGTCGTCCATAATCGTAAAATTCTATAATTGAATTAAATAAATAAGCTTCGCAAGGAGGCCTCAGCTGAGGAAATATTGAATGCCCGTCGTTCTCATATTTACGATGCCCTGCGGTTGTTATTGTTGTCTTTTCTGAGAGGGAGGCAGGGGGGCATCATTTACGAGTTGGGTCAATAACTGGAATAAGTAAGGGTAACAATAACTCAAGGGGTCCCAAAACACATTCGAACCTCGATGAGAAAATATAACTATTGTTTGTTTTAACTTTAAATTGCGTTTTTTAATGTTGAATTTAAGCTTATTATTGAGATACTATAAGTATTTCCAATACATATATGAAAGAATCCTTCAGGAAGTAAATGCATTCTATAATGAAATTCAACTAGTGGCTACCAAACCAGTATTTTCCTCAAAAATAGATCTATATATAAACATTTTTCTAATTTTAACCAGCTCAAATTATATTTAAATTAAATTGTTTATTGTGTACTGTTGCATTTGCATACTTTCCAACCACTGACACTCCGATTTCCCCTCTTCTTTCTCCTTTCTCCGCAGGTGCCGCCATTCGTCGCAGTCCCGCTGTTGATTTGTTCGAACAACATCAGGGCACCCACATATTACAGGTAAGATTATGGTGGCAAAAGGGACGGCAGTAGGTCCAAAGAAAAAGAGAGAGATATAGCCCACAGCCATCTTATGCATATGATTAAAAAAAAAACACAAATAAAGAAAAGAATGGCACTTTCGACTTCATGAATAATAAAATATATTGAAACAACCAATTGCTAAGGAAGGTACGCTTAAGATCATACAAGTTAAACCGATCTGATAATGATATAAACCTGATCTCCTTGAAAACTCTTGCTAGTAAACGTTTTTAAAATTCCTATTTAATACACTGTTTTCTTAGTCCATGGAAGGATTTGCTTTAAAAAAACCGATCTTCTATAATATAGTCATGACCCTGATCTTCTTTGAAACTCTTGCTAATAAATATACCACTTTAATACCATATTTTCCCTTGTGTTTCTTCTTCACTTCAGTCCCTTGATGGATTCGCCTTGGCTGTGGCGGCAGACGGACGCTTCCTGTACATTTCCGAGACGGTGTCCATCTACTTGGGCCTGTCGCAAGTGGAGATGACGGGCAGCAGCATCTTCGACTACATCCACCAGGCGGACCACTCGGAAATCGCCGAGCAGCTGGGCCTGAGCCTCACGAGCGGCGCTGGAGGAGGAGGCGGCGGAGGAGGCGGAAGTTCGAGCAGCGGCGGTGGAGGCGGCGGAGCGGGTGTGGGCATGGCCTCGCCTACTTCCGGAGCCTCCGACGATGGCAACGGAACACACGGTACGAACAATCCCGACGGTGAGTCAAGTCCGAGTTGTCGAAGAACCAGGAGCGGGATGGAATCCTGGTGCGGGTTGGGATCCAAACGGATGTTTCAAAAAAAAAAAAAAATTCAAATCCAATTGATGTCCGCCTTAGATGTAATTGAAATCTAGTAGTATGAAATCTAATCTGAAACCCTTTTTGATCTTACAGTTGCTGCCTCCATGACACAAGCTTCGACGAGTGGCTATAAGGGCTACGATCGGAGCTTCTGCATCCGAATGAAGTCTACACTGACCAAACGCGGCTGTCACTTCAAATCCTCTGGCTATCGGGTGAGTTTGCCAATCTTATCTTTCTATCCTCCAATCAAACTACTATCCTTATTTGTACTTTTCTTTAAGTTTTGTATTGTTTTTATTTGTTCTCCCCCTCGTAGAAATATTTCTAACTGAATAGTTTTGGGGATTATTTTTTTTCTGTTTCTGTTTTTGTTTTGATTTTATTAAACTTTTTCGTTGGCCCTAGGAGTTGCTTTTTTAATGAATGGCTTGCAAGTAATAGAGTAAGACTAACCCATTGAAAACGTTTTCGGTTGTGTTGTGTGTAACTTGCATTACCTGCATTTTGTATTACGTATTACCATCCCATCCACTGCTTATCTACAGGCCAGCGATGCAACGAGCAATTGCAACAACGGTAACAATGCTAGTAACAATGCTAAAAACGTTAAGAATCCGGGCTCAAACTATTCGGTACGTATCAATTGAAATCAGTACGTTTGTATGCTAAAATGCAAAGGCAAAATCAAAAACCTAATCAAAATTTATTACTGAGGTATTCGCTTTTTGAGTTTTTTTCAACTATTTCGGCCATCTTTTTTGTGTTTGCTAAGAAAAAAACAAAACAAAGGCAAAGCCACTGACTGATTTTAGATTGATCAGTATCGAATAACAAGTGCGAAAGCTGCTTCAATCATCCACCAACCAATCATCAATCGCCGCAATCACCACATGCTCTACAACGTTTTCCAGATTGTTTGTTTGTCATTTAATTTACACCCATAAATGTTTCCATTAATATAAACAGGTTCGGCAAATATTTGAAAAAAAAAGTTGTTCATAAAAAATAAATTGAAGAACCACACCTTTGATTTTAAATCAAAATGATTTGTTCACTTATAATAACCAACTTTTCTTTTGATTTTAAAACCATGTGTACAAATCAAAACGTGTAAATACACCAATCGTAATAAATATTATCCTACAGAATCATAAGCTTCTTTCGTTTGAGTGTAATAGGTTCATTTCCAAACCCAAGAATTCCTTCCTCAATCACCAAATATCAAGTTTTTTAAGCTCCAGAAATAGGATTCCCAACTAAATGAGTCTTGGCTTCCTTGGAACCTTTACAGGTGGTTCTGCTGCTGTGCAAGCTGCGTCCCCAGTACACATTCTCCCACAGCCGAAAGTCGCAGCCACCACTGCTCGGAATGGTGGCCTTGGCCATCGCGTTGCCTCCGCCATCGGTTCACGAGATCCGGCTGGAGTGCGACATGTTCGTCACCCGGGTGAACTTTGACCTGCGAGTGGCCCACTGTGAGCCAAGGTAAGCGTTGACTCTACCCCACCCTAGTTATAAAGCCTAGTAACTAACGAAATCGCTTTCAAAATGTAGGGTATCCGATCTACTTGATTATACTCCGGAGGATCTGGTAAACAAGAGCTTGTACTCACTGTGTCACGCCGAGGATGCCAACCGCCTGCGAAAGAGCCATTCGGATTGTGAGTATTCTAATCATCAAGAACCTGTAATAATAAGAAAAGCTTAAATTATAATCTTTTGAGGGTCTTATTATTGAATAAAAGTATTTTTTATTTAAATTTTTATAAATTATACATACAGTCTAAATTGTTTGAAAAGAATAGCTTATTTTTTGTACATTTAAAAATATTTAACTTTTTTCTATGAGAAAATCGAATAAGGTTTTGGATTTTTTTTATAGTTTCACATTCCTGTAATTTTAAAATTCCCCCTAAACCGTTTACTAAATTCGTTTGTTCACTTCCTTTTGCAGTGATCGAGAAGGGTCAGGTGCTGACTGGCTACTACCGACTGATGAACAAAAGTGGGGGCTACACATGGCTCCAAACCTGCGCCACCGTGGTCTGCAGTACCAAAAATGCAGATGAGCAGAACATCATCTGCGTAAACTATGTGATCAGGTAGTTTTACTCAAATTGACTTTTATAGCCCCATTAATCAAAAACGTTGTGCATTAGTAATCGGGAGAACGAGAACATGATCCTGGACTGCTGCCAACTGGAACCCAGTCCGGACAGCATAAAGCACGAGGAGGGTCTGGGAAACGACAAGAGCAGCGGATCTCCAGGCGGAGATGCCAGTGGAGAGGGCAACTCCCATTTAAGTGCAGGAGACATGAAGCTGAACTCGGAACCGAAAACCGATTCAGAAGGTCATTCGCATCGCGGCCGGGGACGCAGTGCAGCAGCCTCGCACGGAAGCAGCCTTAACAGCCTCACCATGATCAAGGATAGTCCAACTCCCCTGGGAGTGGATATCGATGCGGGTGTACTGCCCACCACAGTGGCCACTCCAGTGCCCGCCAGTGCAACTCCCAATGGCAGTAGCTCCGCCTCCACCAAGCGGAAACGCAAGACCAAGGCATCGCAGCAGCAGGCGGATGAACAAAACCAGGATCAGGTGATTCCCGACCAGCCTCTGCCCAAGCTCCCAGCAATGGAGCAGCGGGATCACCAGCCTCGCAGCCGTTTACCCTCGATTGTGGACGAGCAGCAGCAGCAGCAGCAGCAGCAACCCGATTCGGCAGTCAAGGATCTGGAGCAGGCCATGTCCAAGCATTTGCCCTCGCCGGTGGCAGTGGTATCGGTGGCTCCGCCTCCCAACAACACGGACTTCAGTGCCGACTCCCTGCTCAAGCAGCAGCAGCAGCAACAGCAGCAGCATCTGGAGGATCCCAACGAGAAGAGCAGCACCATCCAGTGGATAGGCACTCCGTACCAGCAGCCACCGGCGCCCATGCCCGCCACCGCCCTCCTGCGGCAGTTGTACGCCAACCGGGAGAGTGTGATCCGGGCCACGGCCCGGCAAACGCCCACAGGAGTGTTCTACGGAGACCAGCAGACGGGACCGCTGCCCACGCCGCCGGGCAGTGAGTCCTCCTACGAGAACCAATACCTGCAGCTGCACTCCGCCGCCTCCGGAGGACATCCCGGCGCTGGTGGCCAGAAGAGCTCCGCCGACGCCTTCACCAATCTGGTGTCCACTTACGGGGGCTACCACAGCTCCATCGACTACCACAACGCCATGACCCCGCCCAGCTCAGTGTCTCCCAGGGACTCGAACCAGCCAGGGAAGGCGGCTCCCGTGTTGACCTCCTCCAACGGGGGATACGACTACGCCCCCGATCCGCTAAGGGGTCAGTATGTCACAGCCACCGGGGACGGAGTGGCCACCACGCTGCCCCTGAAGCCGCAGGCATCCTACACGACCACAATGCATCCGTCGGCGGGCGGGAGCACCACCACCGAGGGCGGAGTGACCTACAGCAATCTCGACCAGCCGCAGTACTTTGCTCCGCACTCGAGCTTCCACCTGTACCACAAGGGCAGCCCGGCCAGCGGCTGGTACTCCACGCCCTCCTAGGTGATAGACGACCAGGTTCCGCCATCCTGCCAGGATCAGTACCACCACCATCACCACCAGGAGGGATCCTCCAGTGGGAACAACCAGGCGGGGGAGCGATGGGACTTTGTGGGGGCGCTGGGCAAGGTGGCGAGGATGTTCTTCAGCGCCAGGAAGGGGAATCCGGGATAGAGGGGAGTTGCCTAGACTGGAGGAGGTTAAGAAAATCCCAGTCGATTGAGATAGTTTAATAACAGGGGTGCACTTCCCAACACAACTAAAAAAAAACACACGAGTCGAGGAAAAGGCTTGGCGATGGAAAAAAAACTCAATGTAATTATTGCTGACTTGACTAGGTGATTATTCGTGTGCAATGATTTGATATACAAACACCCGATGTTCAGTTCTTTTTTTTTTAATTTAATTTTAATTTAAAAACCTTTTTTTGATTTGGCAACCGAAAGATTTTACAATTCCAAGTTTTTCCTAGTTAAATAAACTTCTAAGGACTTATCTTCCCCTCCAGATCGCAAGCATTCCCCGGCAGCAATCCTTAAGAATTAGACTAGAGTAAGAGCCAAACTTAAAGCGTTAAAAAAAAACATTCAATGTTGTTAAATAATTCTTAAGTCTGTAAATTATGAAACACACACTCCACACTCGAACACACTGAGACCCAATGAAATTATAGGCAAAAATACTCAATACGCAATTGATTTAAACATAAACATAAACGAATAGTAAGGTTAATCTTAATTAAAGTAATGATATATAGTAAGACTTGCATAGAGTGCCAAGGAAAGGAAACCGAAACAAAAACGCGCTATAAATAACAAGAGAGCGAATCAAAACACGGCTTGAACTAACCCTCTCCCAACCAATTGTTATTAATTATTTAAATCAATTGTAATTTTACCAACACATAAACAGGCATACATAAGATAATCTCAATATGATATGTATACATTAATACATATATATATATTTAAACATTTTTACAACATATCAAATGCTTCCTCCTCTAGATTTAGGATTACATTTAAACGAGACTCGCTCTAGGACACTAATTTCGATTATTACCTCTAAGAGTTCCGCTAACGTTCGTCTACTTCCGTTTCCTCCCTATTGTATATTTAATAAAATCATCTTATAGCTAAAACGTAAACAAAAATAATAATAAATCAATGCAAAAGCAAGAAAAACAAAAAGTGTAATTAAATTTTGTATAAAAGCAAAAAAAAAGTTTCTCCCATTAAAGGCTTAAAATATTGAATATGACAATTGAAATGACTTTTAATCTGGATTTTATTGGGAAATTTACAGATTTTGAGTTTTAAAACGATTTTACTCAGTGTTCACTTGTAAAAAGAAAAGTAAATCCAGCGAGGGATATAAAGATTTTGAATTTCAAATCGATATTTGTTTTGACTTTCTTTACTGCCTTTTTGCGTTTCAACTGTGACGAGTGCTTTTTAAAAACATCCCATTTCGTTTTCCAAATCAAAGCAGACGATTAAACCAAGTTTCGTGCGTGCTTTTAAGACTTGGGGATTTTCAAATTCAACGGAAAGTCTGCCTCCGGATAAGTCGCGAAAATGTGATCCAGCTGTTGTACGGATCGGCACTCCTGACGACCATCATGGTGACTCCCTCGATTACGCACCGAACGATTACGAACGGCCCTCTGCGTATTTCCGCTACCCGGCAGTTCTGTCCAGCGCCATGATGTCCCTGGGGATGACCTTCATGGCCATGATGCCCAACCTGGAGACCCCGGCGCTTTCGAAGAAGTACTTCCTGAATCCAAGCCTGCTGTTTCAAGTTCGCGTTCAACCTGAAGCTGCTGCTCAAGGCCATCTTCCACGTGGCCAATGGGAACCAACCGCAGGGATTGGTTCTTCTTCTTCGCCCTGGTCGCCTACTGCGCCAACAAGCAGGGCCAAAATTTCTCTTCCATTTTTATGAAAATAAATGATTTAACTTAAAATTGTAGTACGAACTTTAAATTCAAACATTTCACAATTTAAATTGAAATATTTGGTTTGAGATTTTAAAATGTATTTTTTTCTTGACATTTTCGCACTGTTGTGAGCTTTCTATATACAGGGAATGAAACTGGAGTTCAACTAAATTAAGCCTTTCCCAATTAACCATTATATACATACGTATGTACAAAAATAGAACCTTAAAAATCTATGGTAAATATTTACACAAATAGAACGAAGAAAATAGTAATTTCTAGGTCTAAAATTTGACTTCGTATAGGAAGAAAAATATACAGAGGTGCCAAAGAAATCTCTTGGACAATAAAATCACTTAAAAAACTGTCTAAAAGTATGCATCTTCAAAATAAATCCAAAAGACTTTAAGATAGTTGCAAACTTTAAAACACCTTAAAGCTAGATCTAAAATCCTAGTGATTTCCGTGGCACACCTAATAGAAATTATGTTACAAATTGGATTCAATCCAAACACTTCATAGAAAATAAGAATGATTTTGGCACCGCCGTGAAGTGATCATCTTAAACACTAAGAACATTGGTATAGTTTTGGTATTAAACATCGATACAAACTACGCGGCACTTTGTGAGAGTTTTCGCACATGCTGATGCCTAAAATATGTACAGGTTTTCGCCCTTAGGAAGCCTGCAGGACATTTGCCTGAGCCAGAACCACCTCCTTGGCCACCTTTGTACTGGAATGTGCGAGCACCACACTGCTCTCCACCTTGATTTGTGATTGATTTGGACTTGGGACTTCGTGCTTGGCCTGGTGAACCTGCAGCAGGCCTTGATTGATGCTGGTGAAGCTGCACTGGTCGCACTTGTAAATGATGGAGGACAGCTCCTGCTCGGGATGGCGCTTCTGGAGGTGTATCTATGTAAAATAAAATGTGTTAGGGCGTTGTGCAGGATTAAAGAAGTAACAGATCTAGCGAACCCGAAAGGCGGTGCTCTGGATGGCCCGAAAGTCGCAATGGGGACAGGAGTAGCGCCTCAGCTCCTTGTGGGTGGCCAAATGGCGCCGGAAGGCATTGTGATCGCTGGCCTCATGGTCGCAGGCGTCGCAGCGGAAGCGCTTTTGCTCCTGATGACTTCGCAAATGGAGTCGCAGACTGCTCTTGGAGCCGAAAACCCGCTGGCACTCGGGACACTCCAGCTGCTCGTTGCGCTCCTTGCACAGGTGCTCCCTCAGCGATTTCCTCTGCTTGAAGGCGGCCCCGCAATCCTCGCAGCGATGCATCACCACGGCACTGGCTTCGACTTCAGTTGGCTTTCCCATGCCCAATCCCTGCGTGCGATGCAAGCGTCGGTGGTTCTTCAGCTGCTTAGTGTTCTTGAAGCCCTTGCCGCACTGCTCGCACTTGTAGTTGCGCTCCTCCGAGTGAATCTTGGCATGGGTGTTCACCAGACGCGAGTAGATGGGCGTCTTGAAGCTGCACAACTGGCAGGAGTAGAGCTCCATGTCGATCTGGTGGGTCCGCCACAGGTGCGTGTGCAGGCAGTTCCAGTTGCTAAAGTTGCTGGATCTGCACTCCGGACAGATCATGGGCTGGTTCGAGGAGCTGCTGGCTCCATTGTGGCACCTGCCGTGGTACTCCAAGGTGGCGGGCGACTTGAAACGGAACATGCAGCCCTCCACCAGGCACTTGCCGCCCTCTGGCTGCTGGTTGGGTCCCTGCGGCGGCTTCCTTTTGCTCCCAGTGGTGCCCCCCGAGTGCTTGGCTCCATAGGGACGCCCTCGAACGGAGGTGCCACCTCCAAGCTGCGGTGGCTCCACGACGTGGGCAGTGGGCAGGAGATTATTGGCCACATAGATGCGGGCTGGCTTCTCGGCTTCCAAGGGAACTAGTGGCGGGACAGGCAGACTGCACAAGGGTGTACTTTGGGCCACAGTGGCAGTTCCTCCAGAGGATGTAACAGGTCCTAGAGGTGGTGGCACTGCTCCTTCTCCTCCTCCTACTCCTCCTCCTGATTCTTCTCCCGCTACCCCTGCATCCGGTGCTTCCTCCGTTGGCGGCGGTTCATACAACTGTGAAAAGTCCTTGACCATGAGATCCTCGAGTGGCGAAGCCTCGCCCCCCGCTTCACTGGGAGTGGGCAAGCCGAGTCCGGACTCTGGCACAGCCTCCTCCATCCAGGGCCAGCACTCTAAATCCTCGGCCAGGTCGTAGCCTCCCTCGCTGGGCCAACTGCCGCTAATCGAGGGCTGGAACTCGCCCAGCGATGGCGGTGCTTGTGTGTTCAACTGGGTGTCCAGCTCCAGCGGTGGCTGCTCCACGGGCGGCAGCTCCATCATGGTCATGGCCATCGGCTCCAAGTTGGGCACAATTAAGTGCTCCACTTCGGTTCGGTTCATCAGGTTTAGTTCGTCCACGGTTCGCAAATGCAGAGTGCCCCTTTGTGGTGCCTTCAGTATGTCCACGTTCTTGATGAAGATCTTCTGCTTGGTGGTGATGGGGGCAACAGGGGGTGGCAAGTAATGCTCCAGCTGCACAGTTTGCGGTTCAGCCATTGTGGTCAGTGAATCATTGTTGAGCGGAGGAGGTGGCGTGTTCTCATCCGACACAAAGTCCACGCCAAAATCCAGGTCCAGGGCACTGAAACGAGTGTTGTCCAGACTGGAGACAGCTCCTCCTCCATTGCCATTCAGCACGGAGTCAAAGGGGAAGGCCTCGGAGGAACACATCTGGGCCAGGGGAGCCAGGCTGGGCTCAAATCCTGGCAGCGGACACGTGGTGGGCGTGAGCAGAGCATCCGCCTGGAAGACATCTCCGTCGCCTAGAGGTAAGCCCACTTGTCCGGAATCCACTGCCAACGGTATGCCCCCATTGAAGCCCATTCCGGGCAGAGCGGAGGGCAGAACCATCGGCTCCTTAAGGATGTCCACGTTGCGTATATAGATCTTTGGCTGACGAGGTTTCTCCGGCGGCTCCAGGCCCACGATGTCCGTTATGAGCGGATGACTCTGCAGCTGAAAGTCAAAGGGCAGCAGGGCGGGCTCTCTGAGCACGTCCACGCTCTTGATGGAGATCTTCTGGCTGGGCTTCGGCGGTGGAGCGGGTGCATTGGCAGCAGCCGGTGCTGTCGGCATAGTCTGTTCACTGGGAGACGCACCCACCGCCACGCCTTCGAGCAGGTCCAGAATGTTACCCGTGGATCCACTATCTGGCATTAGAGGCGAGAAATCCGGCAGAGGTTCTCGTAGACAGTCCACGCTCTTGATAAAGATGCGACTCTTGGGTCGGTTTGGAACCACAATCTGGGCTTGCTTTTTAGAATGCACTTCGTTGGGCTTTCCATCCTTCAGCAGGGTCAGCACCTCATTGTCTTCCATTTGGTGGTCCAGACTGAGGTGCCAGCTGAGCGCATCGCTGCTGTACAAGATGTTCGAGCAGCCTGCCGGAGAGTATGTGAGAAATGAATCCAGGTGGGGTGATTACTTCGGAAACCGAAGTAACGAACTTCCTTGCAAAGTTTTAGTTACTCAAAGAGATTGTTTTACCAATGGGTCTGCCATAGACCACTTTACATTCATTAAACCATATATGGAAGTAAGACTCACTTCATTATTGGGCTGATCTTAAGGCTTATCTACTCAAGGATTCAGCTAGTATTCTAGATATGGAGCATTCTTTAACAAGCCAAACGGATTTTGTTTACCTAGGATTGAAAACCTGGGTTTAAGAACAACAACAAAAATCTTCATCTAACTTAAAACCCTATTTTTGAGAGATTGGTTGAAGTGGCAAGAAGCTTAAATATCCCATCTTGAACTAATTGGCCTCTTAATTGGACTATCTTTAAGGTATTTGTACAATTTAATTGTTCTTTTATTATAACAGATACTGGATAAACCAAAAACCAGACTGCTGGTCACAGCAAATCTCCAAGAAATTCCTGACTAGACCCATCAAATATTTAAAACCTTATCGTATTGCCCTAAACATGATCTCACCTGGGCACTGCCTCCTCTGCTGCTCCATGTTCCCATAGCAATTGCCCAGGTGCAAGTGCTGTTGGAGGCGCGCTTGGCTCAAACTCAAAAACGGGCAATTTGAGCAGCGCAGGATCAAAGGAGGGCCATCCTGGACCATCGCCATCTCCTTGCCCTCCAGTGGATCCGCACTGGCGCAGCTGGAGTTGCGAGTGGGCGGCGTGGGCGTGGCATTGAGGCGCTCCTTGGCCGCCGCCTCTGCAGCCAGTTCGGATTTGATTAGCTCCGCCTCCGATTTAATTTCCGCCGTACGCCGGCGAAAGGCATTGCGATAGCTCTTCTCCGGCTGCTGCTGCAAGTCCGTGGTGTGGATCTGGACAAAGGGAATGGCCGGGTTGGGCTGGGATTCCTGCCCCGGCGTTTCTCCATCGGGCAGCCAAACAGAAGTTGCAGAAGTGGGTGCAGTAGATGCATTTCCAATACCTCCGAGCTCATCGTCGAAGAAGCCCCCAAAGTTGGAGTCGTGTTCCAAGGCGTGAACCGGCGTCGATAGCGACAGATCCTGGTGGGGATGTGGATGCTGCAGCGGCAGATGCGAGTGTGGATGCGACAGCGGGAGCAAGTGCAGCTGGAAGACACACGGGGCGTGATTTTCGGGCCAGAGGAACTCGTATGGATGTGGTGGATGTTCACCTGGTGGCTCACCTGGTTGCCACCGTAGAATCCCGAGTAGGCAGCATCGCTCATGTTGGGTTCCAGGTTCCGTGTTCCAGTTTCCGGGTGCCGGTCTTCCTTAATCTGGGGCACAGGCCTTTTAATTCCGCATTATAATTTACATTACGCAGACAAAAACTTGTAGTCACAAAAAAACTGATAGCAAAACAGCTGTTGCTCTGTCAGAGGTGGCAGCACTGCTTGCTTAATCATATTTGGTCACACTTTCAAGGTATGTTTTGTCGTGCGTAAAAGGCTTAATAATTTTGTTTAATACAAATTAATATTTCCAATAGGTTTAAGCTATAGAATATATAGCATTTAATAAAACTGACTTTGTTATTATAAATTTGTACAAATAGCTGTACATTTCAGACCTCGTCTTTGATAATTTGTTGTTATATTTAAAACAACCAACTAAATTCAAAATATTAACTTTTTAGAGCAGTAATTTAATTTTTTCAGACAGTATGCGAGCAGTGTAAAGCAGTCGAAAAATACCAAAAAAAATACTAAGGCACCAGCTATCGCTGATATCGAAAAACGAACCATCACTAGCGGCTAATGCCAATAAAAAATAGCGGAATTTCGTGGAGCCAAGAGAAAATTGTGTAAAATCTTTTATTAACGCGGGAAAAAATCATTGTAAGGCCTCGAAATGCCGCGAATAATGATCAAGGGCGGTGTGTGGCGCAACACGGAGGTAAGTGGCACTTGCACTACCCCAATTTCCCCAAATTCCTCTCCTCACATGCGCTTTCTATCCACCAGGATGAGATCCTCAAGGCGGCGGTGATGAAATATGGCAAAAACCAATGGAGTCGGATTGCCTCCCTGCTGCACAGAAAGTCGGCCAAGCAATGCAAGGCCAGGTGGTACGAGTGGCTGGATCCCAGCATCAAGAAGACCGAGTGGTCACGCGAGGAGGACGAGAAGCTGCTCCACCTGGCCAAACTGATGCCCACGCAGTGGCGCACCATTGCGCCGATCATTGGAAGAACTGCTGCCCAGTGCTTGGAGCGCTATGAATACTTGCTGTGGGTATATTTCTACTTACTCCCCAAATAAATCACTAATCCCAATCCCAATCCCAATTAGTGACCAAGCCCAGCGCAAGGAGGATGGCGAGGACGGCACCATGGACGATCCGCGCAAGCTGAAGCCGGGCGAGATCGACCCCAATCCGGAGACCAAACCGGCCCGGCCCGATCCCAAGGACATGGACGAGGACGAGCTGGAGATGCTGTCGGAGGCCCGAGCCCGCCTGGCCAACACGCAGGGCAAGAAGGCCAAGCGCAAGGCGCGCGAGAAGCAGCTGGAGGAGGCCCGTCGCCTGGCCACGCTCCAGAAGCGTCGGGAACTGCGTGCCGCCGGCATTGGCAGCGGCAATCGCAAGCGCATCAAGGGCATCGACTACAACGCCGAAATTCCCTTCGAGAAGCGACCCGCCCTGGGATTCTATGACACGGCGGAGGAGCATCTGCAAAAGAACGAGCCGGACTTTAACAAAATGCGACAGCAGGATCTGGACGGAGAGCTGCGTTCCGAGAAGGAGGAGCGGGAGCGAAAGCGCGACAAGCAGAAGCTGAAGCAGCGCAAGGAGAACGAGGTGCCCACCGCCATGCTGCAGAACATGGAGCCGGAGCGCAAGCGCTCCAAGCTGGTGCTGCCCACGCCGCAGATCTCGGACATGGAGCTGCAGCAAGTGGTGAAGCTGGGACGCGCCAGCGAGATGGCCAAGGAGATAGCCGGAGAAAGTGGCATTGAGACCACGGATGCCCTGCTGGCGGACTATTCGATTACGCCTCAGGTGGCGGCCACTCCGCGAACACCTGCCCCGTACACGGATCGCATCATGCAGGAGGCCCAGAACATGATGGCCTTGACGCACACGGAAACGCCATTGAAAGGTGGCCTAAATACCCCTCTCCACGAGTCTGATTTCTCTGGTGTGCTGCCCAAGGCGGCATCCATTGCCACGCCAAACACAGTGATTGCCACGCCGTTCAGAACTCAGCGCGATTCTGCAGGGGGAGCCACTCCGGGAGGATTCCTCACCCCTTCTTCGGGCGCTTTGGTTCCGGTTAAGGGGGCTGGAGGCGCTGGCGGAGTCATCAACACTCCCGCCTACGTGAGGGACAAGCTGAGCATCAATCCCGAAGAGAGCATGGGCGTCACCGAGACCCCGGCCTTGTATAAAAACTACCAGAAGCAACTAAAGTCCACGCTGCGGGAGGGACTCTCCACGCTGCCCGCTCCGCGAAACGACTACGAGATCGTGGTGCCCGAGCAGGAGGACAGCGAGCCCATGGAGGCCAACTCGGAGCCCGCTGTGGAGGATCAGGCGGACGTGGATGCCCGTTTGCTTGCCGAGCAGGAGGCTCGCCGGAAGCGGGAACTGGAGAAGCGCTCGCAGGTTATCCAGCGCAGCCTGCCTCGGCCGACGGAGGTGAACACCAAGATCCTGCGACCACAGTCCGAGAAACAGAACCTCACAGAGCAGCAGCAGGCAGAGGAGTTGATCAAGCACGAGATGATCACCATGCAGTGTGAGTGAACATAAATAATTGAGTAAATATAGAAGTTAAAACCCAATTTCACCCTACAATCCCCACAGTGTACGACTCTGTCAAGGATCCCGTGCCCGGGCAATCGCAGCACAAGCTGGAGCAGCTGCAGAGCTACTTCAAGGCCAATCCCTACGAGGACATCTCGCAGCAGGAACTGGCCAAGGCCAGGCAGATGCTCACCGAGGAAATGGAGGTGGTGAAGGAGCGCATGTCGCACGGCGAACTGCCCCTGGATGTCTACGCTCAAGTGTGGCAGGAGTGCCTCGGCCAGGTGCTCTACCTGCCGTCCCAACACCGCTACACTCGCGCCAATCTGGCCAGCAAGAAGGATCGCCTGGAGTCCGCGGAGAAGCGGCTGGAGACAAACCGCCGCCACATGGCCAAGGAGGCCAAGCGGTGCGGCAAGATTGAGAAAAAGCTGAAGATCCTCACCGGTGGCTACCAGGCGCGCGCCCAGGTGCTGATCAAACAGCTGCAGGACACGTTCGGCCAGATCGAGCAGAACTCGGTGTCGCTGTCCACATTCCGCTTCCTGGGCGAGCAGGAGGCCATCGCAGTGCCGCGTCGCCTGGAGTCGCTGCAGGAGGATGTGCGTCGGCAGATGGACCGTGAGAAGGAGCTGCAGCAAAAGTACGCCGGATTAGTGGAGGAGCGCGAATCGCTCTACTCCCAGATTGAGCAAATAACGGGAGTGAGGCCCACAGCGCAGCAACTGCTGCCCGAACAGGAAGCCTAAGCCCAAGTCAGCTCTAATTTAGTTTTAATTTAACCAAGCAGAACACCCAAATATGTCGTCCAGTTCCCTCTCTAATGACCGTACTTCTGGAAGACCCACTCCTTGTTGTCCAGCGGACAGACGAGGCGCGACTTCAGCCAGCGGGCAATGCAGTGGTAGTGGAAGGCATGGTTGCATTCGCCCCAGGCCACGGTGCACTCGTCCTGGTTCGCATTCGGATCCGCCTGGCACTCGATGCACAGGTTCATGATGTGGTTGCGGCAGATGGCGCAGTTGTCCACGGCCACGTCCCACGACCACAAGGCGTGCGCCACCCACTTCTTCACCACGAAGCGCTCCTCTTTTAACTGGCCACCGCAACCGCCTCCTCCTCCTCCACCTCCTAATCCACTGCAAGATGCCTCGTCGTCGTTGAAATCCAGATCGTGAAAGTCCTCTGTCTCCTCAACCTCCATTTTATCGGTCATTGTCTGTCACTTAATTTCAATAATTTTTGCTCTTTTCCTCAAAATAAGTTTATCCCTTTGAAATCGAATTTGATGTGAGCTATTTTACACCCCAAATATCACCTAACTTGACGTTGTTTCAAAACTGATGATTGATTGACCGGGGAAGTGGTGTGCTTAAAACCCAATACTTTAAAACACTTAGTTTATACAAAAAATGTTAATAAAAATAAAATAAATACATGAAAAGCCAGCGTTTAAGCTTTGTTTATAAAAACTACAGTCCGAATAGTATACATTTTTAAATCATTTAAGTTTATTAGAATGGAGAGAAATCAGTGCTACGAAATTGAATTTATTATATGGATTCCATTTAATGGAACATATATTTTTTTAGTAAATTCTTTATACTTTTTAAATTTGCTGTGGCATTTGACAATCCTTGTAGAGTATTAGTTCTATCAATTATTTGTGGGGTATAACCTATTTAACGATTTACCTAGATGGTCTTTTATATTGCAAATAAGAAATCAATGCAACTTTTATGAATTGATCATATGGTTTCCATATGGAACTTATTTTTGATCAATATATAGTAAATTTTGAAACAACGAAGTTATCCAAATAAGTGATTTTACTTCCAAAAGCAAAATCATATGACGATGCTCGTTAAGTGATGATACTGCATATAAAGTATAATCGTTTGGTGTTTACTAAGGAATTCCCTATATTTAATTTCAGATTTTAGAGGGCTTTTAGATTTATTTTATTGTAAATTAGAAATTGTTTCCATATTATGGAACTTGTTGCTATCAATACAGAGTTAGTCCTATAACAAAGAAAGTTATGGTTAAGTGATTTTACTTTCTGTAGCACAATCATTAATGTTATAATCATCTAGAGGAATTCCCTAGATAGTCTTATCGGTTTGAGGAAGCGCTTTCACCGACTTCAGGTGCTTCTTTCCGATGAGGTGCTGCTGCAAGGTGGTGGCATGGTTCATCATCATGTTGCAGGGCTTGCAGTAGTACTGCCCAATTGGAGTACGGTACATGGCCAGTTCCGCGGCGTCCAGCTTCTCGGGTGCAGGTGGCGGTGGTGCCTTCGGAAGGCGCACATCTCCTCCGCACTGATCCGGGCCAGCGGATGAACGCATGTTCTTTTGGTGCCTGGCCCCGGCCAGGTGAACCTGCATTTGCGGAGCAGAGGTGACCACTATTCTGCATAGGCTGCATGTGCGCTCCTTGTCCTCCGATTTGATGGGGCTCCTCTGGGGCGGCACGTCCTCCATGGGGACATCCTGACCCACTGAGCCCCCCTCCGGTTTGAGGAACAGCGCCCCGATGCCATGACGTCCGTCGGAAGGGTGTGCCGCTCCTTCCTCCTCCAACCTGCTGCCTGTTCGCACCCACCTTCCGGCCGAGTCGTAGTGGCCCGATCCCGAAGGCTTCGAGATGCGCTGCTCCACCAGCTTGTGCTTCCGCCCCAGGTAGTGCTGGCGGGCGTGCATGGCGGAGGTGAGATCCAGATCGCAGAGGTCGCAGTGGAAGGCGCTGGGGCCGGTTGGTCCCTGCCTGGACAGCCGCTTGACCGGAGGCGCCTGCAGACCCGCCTCCGTGTAGTTCTTGGCCAGCCAGGCGCTGATGTGGCGGTCGTGGGCCTTCGACTCGTAGTGATCCCGGGCGCACTTCCTCGAGGTCATCTGCACCTTGCACAGCTCGCAGTTGAGCGGCCCAATCAGCCGGTTCAGCTCCTCCGGATAGCTCTCGTCCCGTCCGGGAAACAAGGTCAGCTCCGAGTCGACCTCCGTCTGCCCAGCCTTCCGTTTCAGGGGTCTCATGGAACCGGGGTCCGAGCTGCCGTTGCCCCCCGATTGTTTACCCGGTGCCACCAGGCGATTTCCGCTCACGACCTCCGGCGCTGGCGGAGATTCGTTCCGGGCTCTGGCCATGGGAACACTCTGGGTCACTCCCGCCGCCAGGTGCGGAATGTGGAAGTCACTCAGGAATCCGGAGGAACGCATTTCGCGTCTGAAATCTATAACCCAATGCAATGCTAGAGATGGCAACACAAATCACACGCATGCGTCGACCGCACCAACAAATAAATTCTATAACACAATAACTATAACTCTTTTGCAATCGTCATTTCACAATTCAAACTGAGACAAAAAATGGGAAAAACATATTTACAAAAAAAAACAATATTGCCGATATTTCATTGGTTTTAAAACTACCGTCTCTATGTCAGATTGACCTTCGCTTTGGCGGTCTTATTCAAAAACCAAATGACATTTGAATTTGAGATCAAGAGTTGGGATTTGAGGTTTTATATGTTAAACACGAGACATTTGGTAAAAATGTATTGCCACTTTGATGTCTACTAACAAGACAATATAGCAATAATTTTTAATTTGCATGTGTTATTCAGTATTTAGGGATATATATTTTAGAACCACAATTTTTGTTAACTCCTAGTTTTAACTATTAGTTAGCATTGTATAAATAAATAAATATTTTAGAAGTATTATTAACCCTCATTATAAACTGTACCAAATCCAAGTTTATGAACTTTAAAAACACAATATAGGCTGTTTTAAAGAACTGAGCACGCTACAAGTGAAGTTCCCTTAGAAATATTTAAAAGACTTTCTTTTTTTTTAATTACACATTTTATTGGATTGTTTTTTGTAGCATAAATACATTTATGAATTGATTTGGTGCTAAAATACTAACAGTTTTATCTTCTCTTGTTGTCCATTTGTGTATAAGGATCGTATTCTGTTTGCTGGTTGCGTATTGTTCTCGTGTAGCGTTGGATGGGTGTAAATAGGTGCCATTTGCTCCGCTTTGTATACTTCGATTAGGTAGTTGGTTCACTTCGTTTACCATTCCGTCGTGGTGGCTTTGTAAATTTAGAATCGTTTCCCTTGCAGCACTTGCGGCGACTGATGGAGATAATGTATAAGTAAGTGTGTGTATTCTAGAGCTACTTATGAACGGATTTGATAATACAATATAGCAAGGGGTCTGTAATAGTAATGATATACAATTAGTTTTAATCATATGTCTACGGGTACTAACAGTTAGACAGATCTAGACGTAGGTACGTATAGAACAGGAAAAACTCAAATCGTTTTGGGGCGTGTAAAGCGGAAGATTGTAGATTGCGTAGCTGGGTTAATCCTCGTCGTCGTTGATGGCCGCACTGCTGCGTGAGATCTTCATGTAGGCAGCGCAAATGCATTCGCACACGAAGCGGTACTGGCTCTGGAATTGAAAGACTCGCATGAGACAGCCATCGCCGGGTGAATCCTGGCCAGCGGTACTCACCACATTCTGCACCATGCAGGCGCGCTGATCGCGCATGGTGCGCACAATGTCCAACGGGTAAACGGGCTCGCGGGCTTCCATTAGAGCCAGCGCAGTGTCCATCAGTATGAGCACTCCTGTGCGTCCGATTCCCGCCGAGCAGTGGACGATCACAGGTGGATTGGCGGCACTGATGCACCTGTAAGTAAATTGAGATTAATATAAATTATTGTTTACAACCACAGCCAGCGTTTAATTTAAATAAATAATTACTGATGCACGCTTGTCGAGACAGGCGTCTCGTCCTCCGGAGTGGCTCCATTGCTGGCCGCGCACTTGCGCTCCCGCATTAGGCCGCCGTTCTCGTCGGCATCCGCATCCGCGTCCATCAGACGCACCTGCTTCAGGCTCTCCTCGATCTCCTGCAGGAGTGTGCGATTGCGGGCGGCGCGCACCCGCTCCGTAAACTCCAGAAAGAGATTGGGATCGGAGGGGACGCAGTGGTCCGGCCAGGCCAGGTACTGCATGTGGTGGATGTGCCGCTGCTCGTGCTTGTCTTTCAGCACAAACTCGCGAAAGACGAAGCTGCCCGTCTCATCCGGCTTCTCGCTGAGGCAGCGCACCGAGAACCCCTCCGCCAGCTGGAGCTCCTCGCCAGTCACCGGCCAGTACTGGTGGCACTTCTGGCGACCCGACTCCATCACCGTGGTCAGCATTACCAGGAGGTGGCTGCTCTCCTGCTGCACCATGCGCCAAAAGTCCGTCGTGGTGCTGGCCAGCGGACCCTGGGTGGCTATGTACCGGTTCACTGCTCCGCCGGGAATCTCCATGTTCACGTAGTTGGCGTTGATGTAGTCGCCGGTTAGCGAGTTCACCAGAGAAACACGCGTGCAGTCATCTGAAGTGGCAAATGAATGTAAATGAATGTTTACACACACAAATTGTTAGACAGCGGCAGTCAAACTCACATGGCGATATGTCTCGATATCGGTTCTTTGGGGCATTTGCTGGCTTCCGAGCCTCGGTGATGGCCAGATCCGGGTTCTTCCTGTACATGAGCTCGTACTGGGCCAGCAGGGCGCCGGAAGCCAGGCCATCGCTTAGCAGTAGCAGGCTCTGGGTGAAGAGGGCATCGCCGTCGAGCAGATTGGAGTGCGATCCGATCTCGTCGCTCTCTGGCACGTACTGATACAGAGGCTCCTCCTCGAGGAGCAGTGGTGCCGAGCGCTGGGGCCGCACAGTCAGCAGCAGTTCGCCACTGGCCTGCTGACGGCAGTCCCGAATCATGGCCACCACCTGCTCGTGCCGCAGACCGTGCACATCCCGACCATTGATCATGAGCACCTCGTCGCCCTCGCAGACTCGTGGCGTGCAGCGGTCGGCGGGCGTGTGGGGCACCACCTTGGAGACCTGCACCGGCAGACTCAGGTCCACGCCGCCCTTCACGTTGAAGCCGTAGCGTCCCTGCTCGTCGGCCTGCAGGCGGATGGTGATGAGGTCGCTGCCACTCTCCGGCTGCTGCTGACCCACTGCGTCCGCGATGGTCGTGGGCAGCAGGAGCGGACTGTGCTGGCCGGAGCTGTAGGCGGGCGGCATGGGCGACGGAGAGGCGGACTCGAAGCGCCGCGTGCACTGTTCGATGAAGCCCACGTCGCTGGAAGCGCAAAATACAAGTATTATACATAATCAAATCCTTATAATATAGAGCCCAGCACGAGTTGCGTTTGAAATCAGCTCCGAATTAGAACTTGATCATGGAAGAGCTTGAGGTCATGCACAATTTAATTAAAAATGCGATACATTTATATGAATGTATCATGTAATGAGCTCATGATTCCAACGATCCCTTTGTGTCGATCGCATCGCATAGTTAGTTACTTGAACTGTTTTGCTTAATACTCGTGCCGGACGCTATTGTTTGTAGTTAAACCCTTTACGAAAC